AAATTGGGGAAAATTCAACTAAAACTTCGCCCAAAATTGGCTCAAAATTGGACAAAAATTGGGTAAATTCAGACAAAATTTGACAAAAATGGACCAAAATGGGGGAAATTTGGCCCAAAATTGAGTCCAAAATTGGTCCAGAATTGACCCAAAATTGGCCAAAAGTTGGTCTAAAATTGGAGGAAATTCACCTAAAAATTGCAGTAAAAATGGGTGAAATTCGGCCAAAATTTGACATAAATGGACCAAAATCGGGGAAATTTGGCCCAAAATTGAGTCAAAAATTGGTCCAGAATTGACCCAAAATTGGGCCATTTTTTCTCCGTTTTCCGCCATTTTTTCCCCGTTTTCCGCCATTTTATCCCCATTTCCCCCCTCCCAGTCCCCTCCCAGTCCCTCCCAGTCCCTCCCAGTCCCCTCCCAGTTTACCCAGCACGCTGCCGTCGGCGCTGCCGGCCGCCAGGGCCGCAGCGCCCCCCGGCGGCGCCAGGCGGCAGCGCAGCAGCGTGTGCAGCACGGCGTGGCCACGGAACGTCACCAGGGAGGCGTCGCCCGGAAGGGGCGTGGCCCGGAGCGCTGGGGGAGGAGCCAGGTTAGGACACGCCCACGGGGAAAATTTGGGCGAAAATCGGGGGAAATACGGCCAAAAATTGGCTGAAATTGACCAAAACGCGGGAAATTTGGCCCAAATTTGAGTAAAAAATTGGTCCAGAATTGACCCAAAATTGGTGTAAAATTGGAGGAAATTCACATAAAAATTGCAGTAAAAATGGGTGAAATTTGGCCAAAATTTGACATAAATGGACCAAAATGGGGGAAATTTGACCCAAAATTGAGTCAAAAATTGGTCCAAAATTGACCCAAAATTGTTGTAAAATTGGAGGAAATTCACATAAAAATTGCAGTAAAAATGGGTGAAATTTGGCCAAAATTTGACATAAATGGACCAAAATGGGGGAAATTCGACCCAAAATTCACTCAAAAATTGGTCCAAAGTTGACTTAAAATTGGCCAAAAATTGGGGGAAATTCACCTTAAAATTGGCTCAAAATTGGACAAAAAATGGATGAAATTTGGGCAAAATTTGACCAAAATGGACCAAAATTAGGGAAATTTGGCCCAAAATTGAGTAAAAAATTGGTGCAGAATGGGTCCAAAATTGGCCAAAAATGGGAGGAAAGTCACTTAAAAATTGGCTCAAAATTGCAGTAAAAATGGCGAAAATTTGGACAAAATTTGACATAAATGGACCAAAATGGGGAAAATTTGGCCCAAAACTGAGTCAAAAATTGGTCCAAAATTGACGCAAAATTAGGAAAAAGTCACCTAAAAATTGGCCAAAAAATGGGCAAAATTCAGTCAAAATTTGACCAAAGTGGACCAAAAAGGGGAAAATTCAACCCAAAATTGAGTCAAAAATTGGTCCAAAATTGACCAAAAAAATTGATCCAGAATTAGGAAAAACTCACCTAAAAATTGGCTCAAAATTGGAGTAAAAATGGATGAAATTTGGGCAAAAATTGATAAAAATGAACCAAAATGGGGAAATTTGGCCCAAAATTGACTCAAAAATTGGTGCAAAATTGACCCAAAATTGGCCAAAAATTGGGGGAAATTAATTTAAAAATTGGCTCGAAATTGGAGTAAAAATGGCGAAAATTCAGACAAAATTTGACCAAAATGGACCAAAATGGGGAAAATTTGGCCCAAAATTGACTCAAAAATTGGTCCAAAATTGACCCAAAATTGATCCAGAATTGAGAGAAAAATCACCCAAAAATTGGCCCAAAATTGGGCAAAAATCAGTCAAAATTTGTCCAAAGTGGACCAAAAAGGGGAAAATTCGACCCAAAATTGAGTCAAAAATTGGTTCAGAATTGGAGGAAATTAACTTAAAAATTGGCTCGAAATTGGAGTAAAAATGGCGAAAATTTGGACAAAATTTGATAAAAATGGACCAAAATGGGGGAAATTTGGCCCAAAATTGAGTCAAAAATTGGTCTAAAATTGGAAGAAATTCACCTAAAAATTGGCTCAAAATTGGAGTAAAAATGGGTGAAATTTGGGCAAAATTTGATAAAAATGCACCAAAATGGGGAAATTTGGCCCAAAATTCAATCAAAAATAGGTCCAAAATTGACCCAAAATTGACCTAAGATTAGTCAGAAATTGGGGAAAATTCAACTAAAAATTCGCCCAAAATTGGCTCAAAATTGGACAAAACTTGGGGAAATTCAGACAAAATTTGACCAAAATGGACCAAAATGGGGGAAATTTGGCCCAAAATTGACTCAAAAATTGGTCCAAAATTGACCCAAAATTGGTGTAAAATTGGAGGAAATTCACCTAAAAATTGGCTGAAAATTGGACTAAAAATGGGGGAAATTTGGCAAAAATTTGACAAAAATTGACCAAAATGGGGAAATTACACCAAAATTGAATCCAAAATGCCAAAAGTTGGAGGAAATTCACCTAAAAATTGGCTGAAAATTGGACTAAAAATGGGTGAAATTTGGGCAAAATGTGATAAAAACGGACCAAAATGGGGAAAATTCGGCCCAAAATTGAGTCAGAAATTGGTCCAGAATTGACCCAAAATTGATCCAGAATTCGGAAAAAGTCACCTAAAAATTGGCTCAAAATTGGACTAAAAATGGGTGAAATTTGGCCAAAATTGACCCAAAAATTGGCCCCAAATTGACCCAAAAATTGGCCCAAAATGTCCCAAAATGGCCCCAAAGCAGGGCGTGGCCACGGAACGTCACCAGGGAGGACTCACAAATTGGTCCAGAATTGACCCAAAATTGGTGTAAAATTGGTGTAAAATTGGTGTAAAATTGGAGGAAATTCACATAAAAATTGGATGAAAATTGGAGTAAAAATGGGTGAAATTTGGGCAAAATTAGACATAAATGGATTAAAATTAGGGAAATTTAGCCCAAAATTGACTCAAAAATTGGTGCAAAATTGACCCAAAATTGACACAAAATTGACCCAAAATTGGTGTAAAATTGGAGGAAATTCACCTAAAAATTGGCTGAAAATTGGACTAAAAATGGGGGAAATTTGGCAAAAATTTGACAAAAATTGACCAAAATGGGGAAATTACACCAAAATTGAATCCAAAATTGGAGGAAATTCACCCAAAAATTGGCTGAAAATTGGACTAAAAATGGGGGAAATTTGGCAAAAATTTGACAAAAATTGACCAAAATGGGGAAATTACACCAAAATTGAATCCAAAATTGGAGGAAATTCACCCAAAAATTGGCTGAAAATTGGACTAAAAATGGGTGAAATTCAGGCAAAATTTGACCAAAATTGACAAAAATTAGGGAAATTCAGGCCAAAATTGGTCCAAAAATTGGCCCAAAAATGAGAGAAATTCACCCAAAAAATTGACCCAAAAACTGGCCCAAAAATGGGGAAAATTCACCCAAAAAATTGAAAAACTGGCCCAAAAATGGGGGAAATTCACCCAAAAACTGACCAAAAATGAGAGAAATTCACCCAAAAAATTGACCCAAAAACTGGCCCAAAAATGGGGAAAATTCACCCAAAAAATTGAAAAACTGGCCCAAAAATGGGGGAAATTCACCCAAAAACTGACCAAAAATGAGAGAAATTCACCCAAAAAATTGACCCAAAAACTGGCCCAAAAATGGGGAAAATTCACCCAAAAAATTGAAAAACTGGCCCAAAAATGGGGGAAATTCACCCAAAAACTGACCAAAAATGAGAGAAATTCACCCAAAAAATTGACCCAAAAACTGGCCCAAAAATGGGGAAAATTCACCCAAAAAATTGAAAAACTGGCCCAAAAATGGGGGAAATTCACCCAAAAACTGACCAAAAATGAGAGAAATTCACCCAAAAAATTGACCCAAAAACTGGCCCAAAAATGGGGAAAATTCACCCAAAAAATTGAAAAACTGGCCCAAAAATGGGGGAAATTCACCCAAAAATTGGCCCAAAATTGTCCCAAAATTGGGCAAAATTCACCCAAAAATTGGCCCAAAAATATTAAAAATTCTTCCCCTTTTTAACCCTTTCTTTGCCGTAGTTCCCCCATTTTTAACCCTTTTTTCCC